GTAGCTCCATATTTATCATTTTAGAAATATTTATTTCATGGTTTTAATGCTTTTAATACTGTAAGCTGTGTAGAGTCACTTCAACAAGATGGGTGTTGAAAGAAAGAAAGAAAGAAAGAAAGAAAGAAAGAGAGGGAGGGAGGGAGGGAGGAAAGAGAGAGAGAGAGAGAGAGAGAAAGAAATATTATTTGACAATTATTTGACTTTAAGGCTTTGCTGTATGTTTGGTAATCTTTAAAATATGTAATTAATTTAGAACAAATTGTATTGTCTAAAATTATTGACACAAATCCTTACAAAAGTGAAAATACATTCACATCTCTCAATTGGAGTTCTTTCACTATATGAAATCTCTAATGATACAATAATTTATTTAAACAAGAAGCATCAGATAAGAGGATATACAAGGTTTCAATTTCAGTCCTTGAAATAGAAGAGTTGAAAAAATAGTTGAAAATGAGCAGGTTAGAATATTTTGGGATTTCCAAATACAAACTGATGAAGTCTTGGAGCATAACAACCCAGATATAATTGTAGTGTGAATAATTAATGTAACATTTCCAGGGGATAACAAAATAAAAGGGGAAAAATTAGAGAAGATCACAAAGTATTTAGATCTGAAAATTCAAACTAAAAGATTATGGCAAAAGGCAGCCATGGTGATCCCAATGGTTATCACACACTAGGTGCTATACCAACAAATCTTGGATGCACTCAGAAAATCTCCACATTGACAAAATTTCCATCTGTCAATTAAAAAATGACCACACTGCTTGGGTCTGCTCATATACTCTGCCTATACATTACAACATCCTAGGTTCTTGAATTTGAGGCATAGGAAGACCACTATCAGCTAAAGAACTGGCAGCTGTGATTTCATATCATAGTGCACAGATAATAATAATAATGTATCAAATTTATACGCCATCCAACTCCCAATGACTCCGGGCAGTTTATAAATTGTTAAAAACATTTAAAAACATGAAACAACAGAAGAAGAAACATAAAACAAGGAAACAAAGATGGCAGAGAAAAATATCTGATTGGGAACAAGGAAAAGGAAGAAAGGGATTGATAATATTAATTGGGGGTCTAATTCTGACCAGTGTCTACCAGTATACTGACTTGTTACTTGTAGTATAGTAATATTCAGAAAGTTAAAGAATCCCAATTCCCATTGTAACTTAGATTCACTTCTTACTGTGGATTCCTTATCTATGATTTTTTGTGTGTGGTCTGAGTTTATATAGAATGATTTCTGCTGTTGGTAAATCACATTGAATAATATTATCTGCCAGAATAGCATTGTTCATCTTTTCTAAAGCAAATATTAACTTCTCCTGTGGACTATGCTATAAATCATATTAGGGGTGTCTTTACTCTTGTAGAAATTATAAAGTTGGCCACTGTTACCCAGCCAAATACATAAAAGGCAAACTGATGTAATAGAAATACAAGTAAATTTTTCTCTCAAAACTACAAACAAGCTAAAAATATCCAGAATCTAGTCTTTCTCTATCATATTGCATCATCAGCATATAAAATATACTTAGTCACCATATCTTTCCAAACTCCTTTTATTCTTTTCTTTCACACCAAAATATCTCTGAATAAAGGCTTTTTCCCTCATTTTTTTCATTTTTAATGCCTCCTTAATCTCACCTTTATTCTCTTTATTCAGTCCAACCATAGCTTGCTCCTCTTCATATTCCCATCCTGTTTGGTTACTTCTTTGCATTCCATTAAAATCAAATAATTTCCAACAGTCATTTCTGGGGACAGCACAGTTCTCTAAGTTGGGGCCTGTTTCTTTGCTTGACTTTGCTTCCTCCCTAGAAGTAGAGTGCTAGACTCTACTTATTTATCTACTTATTTACCATACTTATTTGTCTATGTGGGCCTTCAAATTCAGGTGGTTGGATGCTTGTCTGTCCATCTATCTAAACCCACTCACTACATACATGTATGCATACCATACATACATACATACATACATACATACATACATACATACATACATACAATATACCCCGAGTCCACTAGGAGGCATTTACACACATGTGATATTCACAAAATCAAGTTGCCTCCCCTGCATTTGTTTCCCTTGTTGGGTCAAAAAGAATGTTTATATACTTTAAATAGTCTTTGAATGCCACATTGGTGACAGATTCCAAAAGCGATTGGAGTCAAGCTAAATCAATAGGGTGCGTCCATGACAAAAAAATTAAATTATATTATACTGAAATTAGGAAAAGCTAATTATTTTCCAAGAATTTTCTTCTTATGTCACACAAAAAATTACTATTCAATTTAGAACTATAAATAAGCAAGTCAAGAATAAACAAGTTAAAGCTGTCCTATTTTATTGTGCCTTTAGCCTGACCTGACTGTTAAGGCAAGTCACAAATTTTGGTACATAAATAAATCTCAATTAATGATGAGACTAGTAGAAATGCATGGGGTAGTATAAAACTTCTGATATACCATTATATGCTCTAGCTATCCCTCCTCCCAACTTCCCAAGTTTTTCTTTATACAGAAGAGGTTTAAGTGCGTCTTTCATGAAGAAGTTGGTATGTGTAACATAGTACCCATAAGAGTACTTATTTTTCATGTAATCAGAATATTTGACCATATATATGATGACACTTAGACCAAATATATTTATAAGTTTTTAAAAGTTTGTGAACTCTCGACTTCTCAATATGTATAAATATATCCTAAAACTAGATCAAGTGATTCAAAAACAATATGCCTGTTCATTTATTTACTGAAGAAAATTATCCAAAACTACATAAGAAAAACAGGTATTATTTTAAGTCATATTTATAAGAAAAATGGGTTGACAAACTTTCAAGCACCATTGAAAAACTGAAATTAAATTCTCTGTCTGTGAATCTTTAAATATCTTAATTGATACTTAATACCATCATGTTGATGTTGACTCTTAGCAACCACATAGATTTTCTCCAGCATAGTTCTCATAGCTTAGCTTTTTTTCACAATTCATAAAATGCTTTTTCAAAAAAAATAAGGATTTTTTAAAAAAGCAACAAGGTAAAGAAATACTTTTTTTAGAAGAGCAATTTTGCACATAGATTTTTAAGGTAGTACAAATCCAAGCAAGATAGGTAGGCTAGATTGTTGTGGATATGTCAATTGATTATCATTTTAAACAAACTATTTACCCCTATTATGAAAAGCTATGACTGCTACTACTACTTCTACTATCAATACACTACACATAAATTCCACTAAACCTATTTTCCTTAAAAATTGCTTAAAAAGTGGGATGTTTGCCAACTATACAACATTCTATATATATCTTCTCTTTTTTGAAAATAACTGTTTTGATTTTAAAATATTTATATCTTTTACTGCATAGCTAACAAGCTGCCAACTGTGGAAAAATGAGAATGTATTCTGTTTTATGCTTTAAAAGGATTTTTTTTAACAAAAATGCTATATAGGCTAATGATATTTAGAGAAGTTGATTATTCTAAATCAGCAGTTCTCAACCTGTGGGTCGCGACCCCATTTGGGGTCGAACGACCATTTCTCGGGGGTCGCCAAACAACGCAGTCCGCCATTTTTCCCCCCTTTTCCTTAGCTGTGCTACTCCCTCTTACTCTATTGGCTTTTGAAAGCCAATAGAATAGACTCTATTCAAGAGACTCTATTCTATTGGTGTTCGAAAGCCAATAGGAATTGTCCAGGCTGTCTCTGCCCTGCTGAGCCTGCCAAAAGTCCCAGTCTGCAAACGGTGCTACAAGTTATCTGCAGCTAAGGCGAGCTTTCTGGGCGTTTCCACCCCTCCCTGCTGAGCAACTCCTAAAAGTAAGTAAAAGAGGGCCAGGGGTGGGAGGTGGGAGGCCGGCAGGCGCAGGGAGGGTTGCTGGCGCGCGGTGGGCCCGGCGGGTGCTTACCTCCCTTGGGCTGGGCCAGCTGGTGGCCCAGCCGGTGGTCACCCTGCGCCCTCGCTGCCGTGTGCTATGGCCGCCCAGGAGCGCCTGGGCCTGCCGGCGCACCGAACGTGCGGTGGCCAAGGTAAGGCTAGCGGAGCAGTGGCGGGCGCAGGGAGGGTTGCTGGCGCGCATGGGACCTGGCGGGTGCTTACCTCCCTTGGGCTGGGCCAGCTGGTGGCCCAGCCGGTGGTCGGCCTGCATCCTCGCTGCCGCTTGCCATGGCCGCCCAGGAGTGCCTGGGCTTGCCGGCCTGCCGCCGCACCGAATGGGCGTCTTGCTCTGCGATTGCCGGCTCCGCACAAAAGTTTCTTTTTCTTTCCTTTTCTAAATTCTACCCCCCTTTCTCCCCCTCTCCTGTCCCCTCTTCCATTCTTTTCTCTCCTCTCCTTCCCGGCGGTGAGATTTGGCCGGCTGAGGGGGTCGCTCTAGCTCGAGCAGGAGAGCCATCTCTATGCTCCTGGGTCACGTGTGGGCGTGCGTGTGGGTCACGTGTGGTCACGTGGTGCATGTGTGTGGGTCACGTGTGGTCACGTGGGTGCGTGCGTGTGGGTCACGTGGGTGCATGCGTGTGGGTCACGTGTGGGTCACGTGGGTACGTGCGTGTGGTCACGTGTGGTCACGTGGGTGCATGGGGTCGCGGCATTAGGATGGTTGAGAACCGCTGTTCTAAATATTTCCTTTCAGTTCATGAGAAGGCCCTGCTCTGCCATCTTGTGAGCAATGCCTCTGAAATATATTCCCCACTTCAGCAGATGTTTAGACTCAGACTTAATATGTGTACACATTGTATAAATAACTGCAAAGCTTTGATTCAACCTTTTTCATACTTTGCTTAGTTAATTACCTGGGCTTCTATGTTTACATGCAGTTAGTGTATCTCTAACTATAAAGTACATAATTTATAATTGATGTAAATGATTGTTATTATGTCAATTAAGCAGCTGGGTTCTCCACCTTCTCACTAAACAGAATGAGTGATAAACAGAGTTTACATGGAGATGCCTACTTTTCTTCAGAAAGGATAAAATAAATTACCTAGATAGACCAGGTTGTCCAATTGTTCTTTGCTGAGGTAGATGCTGTATCCTGGCTTCCTCTCTTGACCTGTTGACTGCAGCAAATGGTCAATTTCGTCACGCACCACTGCAAAAGCTTCTGGGTGCCTCAACAGATAATATATCGTCCAGAATGTAACAGGAATTGTGTTTCCCACGGAGGCCCACAGGAACGCAAAATGATGTGCTGGGAGAAAATAAGTGAAAAGGAAGATTAATAGCGTTTATTACACTGATTAGATTTGCAGTGTGCTAATTAAAAGATGTTAGGACACAGACCCAGCCAAGGATCAGTGAATGCTAATGAGGACCAATAGGCTTCTGAAAGTCTAATTTTCTGCTTAATGAGAATAGTTTGAAATGTAATTTCAAGGTGTGGGTGGGGGTGAAATAAAGGGAGGAAATGCAGCTCAGTTATAATCTCTCTCATTATCACCATTAAGTATCTTGTTTTACCACCTCAGCCAAAAAAAGAGAGAGAAAGAAAGAATCAATTATCAGACAGGATTGTTTCAGAGTAAAACATTTTATCATTACCCAATTAGAGAAAAAACATAAAAATTTCAAGGTCGCAATTTTGCCATTTTATTTCAAAGGTCTCTAGTAAATTATCTGATTCAATTCAAGCAATCATTCAAAAGTTTGCTACCTGCTTTGTCATAATCGCTAAGCACCTTATAGCTTTCAAATATATCTTTTCTGTATTGGACTACTTTAGAAACATCTAACCATTTCTCCATCTTTTTTGGATTTAAAAAGTTTATGAGTTCTCTCCGGATCTTCTTGGTTGCTCCCAGCAATGTAATTGGTACATTTAGCGCCAAATAGGAAAAGTTGGCATCAAACTTGAGAAATTTTTCTCCAATTTCATCAGTAACATAGCCATCATTATGAGGATCCCTTCCAAATAATGTTTTAAAGCTGGCTTCAAATACTATAGAGAAGCAGAACTTGTACATTTTTTCCATCTTCCAATCTACCATTAGTGAAAACTTGTGCTTAAATATATTTTGGAGCATCCTCATCATGTTATCAGAGAGTGTGTCCAATGATTTGCCAAGTAAATGTTGATAATTCCTGTGTACATGTTCATTTAGGTCTGGACAATTCCCATTTACAATTGGCGGGTGGTCAAATGCTTGGCTTGACACTTGATCTGCAAATTCTGCAAATTCCAGATACTTGCTGTTTCTGCTCACAACAGGATATTGTAGGGGGTTTATTACAAATGTAATATATTTGCCTGAAAGAAAAAAAAAGAAATTGGTCAAAGCCCACATGATAATTTATGCCAACATTCTGCAACCTGTTGTCTTACAGTAATGCTTCTCAATCTCCAAGCAACTTTAAGATGCTTGGACTTCAACTCCCAGAATTCCCCAGCTAGCCATGGTTGGCTGGGAAATTTTAGGAGTTGAAGCCCAAACATCTTAAAGCTGCTGAAGTTGACAAACAATGCCTTAGAAGAATCATGTACAACTGCTCCCATCATCTCCAACACAAGACATATGCTGGCTGATACCGATCTAGAAAACAATAGGTTTGAAGAGTCTGATTTAGTTAAAATCATTTTCCTGGTGTTTTCCTCCAAATTATAATAAAATGTGGCAGTCTCAGAATGAGTACCATCCTCACAGTGCCAGAAATGAGATCTTTCAAAAATACCTTATTGCAAGATATTCCTAAAAATAGAATAATAAATGTACTTTAAGTGCAGCTTGATTTATACTATGGCATTATTCCTGAAAAAGAGCAGCAAAACTCGGCATACATTTTTATATATAAAAATACAGCATACAGTACATTTTATGTGTACATTACAAAAAAGGAAATTACAACAAATTACTATATTGTGTTTGGAGATATGAAAAAATAGCAAAATAAGCCATGATAGCCTTGACAATATGCTATGCAGGCAAAGGTTGCAATGCTGTGCCTCTAAGTTTTTGGCCTTTTATTATATTTCTGTTAATATTTGTGGATCACATAACACTCCTGATCTCAGTACCAAAGGGTATGCGCATGCTATACATTTTTGCATTTGGTTCTAGTAACAAATTATCCATTTGAACTAGGTTGTATCTTGAGATAACTAATTTAACAATATAATTATATAACAATATAATCTGTGAGATGAATTCTAAAATGTTTCCTATGAATTATTCAATAATACCTAAACTAAAACTTAGCTTAAGCATTTCAACAATACAAAGTTGAGAAATTCCACATTTTTGTTATAAAATTCACAAGTTCACCTTTTAAAATCTTATTTCATATCCCAGCATTATAGATATTAAACCAAAGTAGTGCACCTGCTGAACGAATCTAAAGCTTTATAAGTCACTATTCTTTCACTTCTAAATACCAAAACCAAGACTCAAAACTTGCTAAATCTCTTCTGAAATGGCCAATAAACATAAAAAAAGAATATTTTGTGGAAGATTGTGGGATACAAATTTAACATTCTTTAAAACACTACGTTTCTGATTTGTTAAAACAAAATATTCCATTTTCCCCCAGGTACCTTGGTTTTTCATATCTATCTTCAGTCGAGCATAGAAGTTAAATATAACTTTGGAAACCTCTGAAATTCGTTGCTTTAAAACAATAATTTGAAAACTATAGAGCATTTATAGAGTACCCTAAACAAAAATAAAGAACTTTTCTTTAAAATTTATAAGATAACAGAAAAAGCTATGTGGAGTCTAGAAAAGATATTCCGCATTCTTTGTACAGTCCAGAGATTCCTTCCCCACATCAGCTATGAAATCCACCTTCATCTGAAAAGTTGTAAATATAGGAAATACAAACAACTTCTTGTGATCCCAACTTGATACAATTGTCAAGATCTTTGAGGCTTGATAATGTATTTATCTAAGAATTCAGGGACAAACAAGAGAAAACAAAAATAGATAAATAAACCCGACTTGCTTTGCTCCTACAGAAAAGTCACATTATACTAAAAAATCCAGCTTGCCTTTTCTTTGGACTGTAAATATTATCATGAGATAATCATAGATCTAAGAAGTTTAACCCAAAATATTAATTTAGTGAAAGAGGAAAACTGAACAGTATGCAGTTTTAATTTCTAATTCATTGCACCTGCACCCAAAAAGCTCATTTAGGAATTTTCCCATAAACAACACCAAGGAGTGATCTTGCTCAACGCTAAAGGAAATTCCAATACAGAGAAGATCCCTGAGAATGGATTCCAGCATGAGTCCAAAAGCTCAGAAGACTAAACCTCTGGTCCTAGTGACCGACCCAGATTGGATCCTGCAACGTATATTTGCTTTCATTTATTATCGAGAATATTCAGAAATCATAGGTTATTTCTATATAACAGACTTGAATATGGGTGATTTCATTATGAAAATCATGCACTTTCTATTGGTTGCTTTTCTCATGGGAGACAGTAACCATCATTTTCAGGTCTGCCTCATCTTATTAAGAGAATCAAGCCACAGTGGATATTTTAAAGCATCTATGTAGTTTTTAATTACTGAAACTCTGTAGTTTTATAGCTCTTTAAATAATGAGGCAGAAAATTAGAAGCAATTTCAAATTAGACACTTTCCCAATATCTGGACTATCTGACAGGTCAGGAGTTAAAACCACTCCTTGCAATTCTTCCGAGATAGGAAGATTTTTTAATTACAGATTTTCTTCTTTCTTAAAGATGATGACTGGAATGTGGAGGTGGTTGCTTTCTCTGGCATTTTGCTTTGGGGCCCCACAATTCATTGACAAGCAAATGTCACTTAAGAAAAAGAAATAAAGTTGTCCAATTATGAAAAAGGTTATAAAGTAGTCCAAAATTCTGAAATAAGCTCCAAAAGTCAGTGGACTGTAGATCCTGCAGTGACCTATTTATTTAACTTTTACACCATCCATTTCCTTTAAAAACTGGAAGCTCTAAATTCTATTCAATAATATTCAATATTATTAAGTCTTTAGCTTGTATATGTTTTAAGGACTGCAACATAACAATTTTGTGACTGTTTACTTAAGAGACAATCTCAGAAGATAAATAGAATATTTCTGTCAATAAATGTGTATGGAATTATCACCTACATCATTGGTATAATTATTGTTATAAGTCAGATTTGATATATTGAGAAATATATGAGCTAGTGGGTGCCATTCATTAATGCTATTAATTCTATTTCATAGGTACAGATTTGGAGCTATTATATACACAGATTTTTTAATTTTTAAAAACATTTAAAAATTACATGCTTGAATCTTTCACTACATAAAAATATATTCTCCTACACACATTTTTCCATATTCATATTTTTAAAGCCACAAACATTAAGTTATTTTCCAGTTATATAAAAAACATAAGAGTTTATTTCTTATTTCCAGACTACAATGGAATAACACAGTTGAAAGGGACCTTGGAGGTCTTCTAGTACAACCCTCTGCTCAATCAGGAAACCCTACACCATTTCAGACAAATGATTGTCCAATCTCTTCTTAAAAACCTCCAGTGTTGGAGCACTCAACACTGATTGTTCCACTGATTAATTTTTCTAACTGTCAGAAAAATTCTCTTTAGTTCTAGGTTGGTTCTCTCCTTAATTAGTTTCCATCCATTGCTTCTAGCTTTGGAAAATAGCTCTGTGCTTTGGAAAATAGGTTGACCCCTTTTCTTTGTGGCAGCCCCTTCGATATTTGAACATTGCTATCATATTACCCCTCGTCCTTCTTTTCATTAAACTAGACATACCCAATTCTTGCAACCATTCTTCATGTTTTAGCTTCCAGTCCTCTAATCATCTTTGTTGCTCTTCTCTGTATTCTTTCTAGAGTCTCAACATCTTTTTTGTATCATGGTGACCAAAACTGGATGCAATATTCCAAGTGTGGTCTTACCAAGACATTATAAAATAATATTAATACTTCACGTGATCTTGATTCTGTCCCTCTGTTAATGAAACCTAAGACTCTGTTGGCTTTTTTGGCAGCTGCAGCACACTGCTGCCTCATATTTTAGTGATAGTCCACTAGGACTCCAAGTTTCCTCTTACAGTTACTACTATTGAGCCAGATACCACCTGTTCTATACCTGTGCATTTAGTTTTTCTTGCCTAAATGTAGAATTTTACATTTCTCAGCATTGAATTTCTCACGGCTGTCTATATTTTAAAGATTCTGCTGATTCCCATGACTTCTAGGTAACATAATTGCATAGGGTTATACAGTCTAAACTTTTGCCTCTGACCTAAAATAACAGTTCCCGTCTGGCCCCCACCTGTTGTTCTTGATACACAGCTAGTATCACTGCACTGGATATATCTGGATACTAGTTTGGCTTGGCATTAAAAAGGTTAATTCTAACCCTGTATTGGCTCAATAAAGATCAGTTAACTTGTGGTGAATGTTTAGATTTGTATGTTTTTATACTAAGGATGCTTAACTACATCAGAAGTTCAAGGATAACACCAGGAAATACAGTAATATAGCCTGCAAGATATAAGCAAGTCTCATATCTATTTACAAAAACATGCATATTTTGATGATCTAACTTAAGTGGTACAGAAAGCTCCAATTTGGCAATGCCTTCTATTAATCCACAATCACATCTCAGAGGAACTTAATTTTCCTTTTCTGGAAGATTTAAAGTTAAAGGTTCTGGCCAAATAATGGTCACCACAATCTTAATACTGGATCATCTTCTCTCATTTTCTAACTGAAAACTGTTGAGATCCCCACCCCTTTTTAAACAAACATTAGACACAGCTATCAGATATGATATGTGTTTGTGTGTGTGTGTGTGTGTGTGTGTGAGAGAGAGAGAGAGAGAGAGAGGGAGGGAGAGAGGGAGGGAGGGAGGGAGGGAGGGAGGAAGAGACAAAAAAGAGAACTATCAAAACCTGCTTGCAATACTTGTACTACCTCTTTGATAAGCATGGTGTAATCCACTTTCATTGTCCAATATTAAGTAGAACCAGAGGCATCTTGAGATGTGCAGGAGAGAATGTAGTCAGAGTGGTGCCAACAGCACCACAAAACAAGTTTCTCCCCTTTTCAACATGTGTTGCTGTGTCACACATATGTCACAATGAGGCAGAGCTTGTAGCATGATGCTGCATTTATCATTCAGGTGAAAGGGGCAAATTCCTATGGACAACATTGAGTGATATCCACATTAGAGAAACTGAATGTGTTTTCATTGTCCAAGGTAGCAATGTTTCATCCTTAAAAAGTCAAATAAGTTGACAAAATGATGCCTAACTGGAAGTTTCTCTGTTGGATGCATGAACAGTCACTGAAACTATAAAAATAATTTCAACACAGTGTTTGGTGTGAAATTTTTGAAACAATTGTTCCCAGTTTTATAGATTAAGGTTGAAAACTCTTTAAGGCTATAATATGACTTTTATGTACTTAGGAATAAGATTTCTATGGAACTTGAGAAGATTTACTTTTGGAAATATAAAGGATTTATAATGTTACACCACTGTGAAAAAAATTCAAATTGTTGATAGAAATCTTTTAGATAAAAGTTCACAAAGCACCTGCCCTCTAGTTTTGAACAGTTTGTAAACAAAGGTAAAAAATAATTACTATCTTCATAGTTCAACCACAAACTGTTCAGAGATTTGAGTATTTTTCCCCCTCTGGCTACAGTCCAATCTATCACAAAGAAATCATCTTGGGAGTCACTTTTTATTATAAGCACCAGTGACCAAAAGACTGGAAATACTACTCTGCTCTGATATTATTTAATAAGATGATTTTGAATGCTATTAACCTGAAGATGTCAGCTAGCTTTCCAACTCTGAGCATTCAGGGTAAACAATTTAAAATTTCTTTAAAAATTAATTAATATTAATTTAAACCATCTGTCCACCATCTGCTATTTTCAGATGAAAAATATGAGCTGTTTTCTTTGTGATCTTGACTCAAACATTTTGCAAAACAATCCCCAATTCTTATATATTTAATTACCAATATAAAGTAAATCATCATTTAAGGATTGGGAAAAAGTTTATCCATTCTCTGAACACAATTGTTTGAAACACAGTCCTAATACATGCCCATGATCTATGATCCCTTAGGAATCATTTGGATTTGTTTCCAAATGAATCTGTTTATGACCTGTATAATTATATACTCTTATTCTATGTAAGCCCACCGAAGTGTAATGTTGCCCACAATTCATTTCTGACAAAGTGTCATGAAATCAGCACCTCTGTTTGTCCAATTAATTTCACTTCATGCCAAAAAGCAACACCCCATTTGCAAAATCACTACTCAAGTAACAAAGATAGGAAAGAAGGGGGAGGGAGAGAAGAGAAAACAAAATATCCATAGAATTCCTACACTAGCTTCATGTTAGCTCAGATTCACTTTGAATTCTACACAGGGTGGGGGGCTACAGGGAAAAACAATTGCAATTAATAATAATGTTGCCTAGAATTGCAGGCTGTACTCTACACACACACACACACACACACACAAACACACACATACACAGAGAAAACACCACATGTAGAAACAGGTTTTGTGGGGCATAAAAGGGAGGGATTGCTGATTCTATTTACGTAACACTGGTCTTTCTTATTAGGAAGATTTTGCTGAAAAGTTGACAATGATGTACAGTAGCGACTCACTGGAATGACGTTTAGGGAAAATGATTCTGCTGCACCACCACACAAAACCAATTAGAGAACTATTTTCCACGACAGGTCAGGAATTTCCACTGTTTCTTGTGGAGAGTAATTTCTTTATTAAGGTGACATCCATGTCCATTATTGCTTTTCAGAATGACAATCATTTGCTTATCATACAGGAAAGTACAATCAGTGAAATCACGTCACCAGTCTGAGGCAATGCCAGAAACTCAGAGCATCAGTCTATGTTTTCCAAATGAACTAATCTGAGAATTAATAAGGGGAACATTATATATTGGCAATATTTTTGACAAGACTGTTAGAAGCACATCAAGAGGAAAAGGTAAAGCTAGTGCAGAAATGCTGCAAATAGTTTGGCATTTCCGAATCCCTCTATTTTGCCAGTTCCGAGAAGCTTCCTGAAATATTAGTACATGAAGTAATAGGGTCTCAGTTCTTATGGTAACTCCATGAGCTTCCAATAATTAATAAAAAATATTGAAAATGTAAATGAACAAAAACCATAAATTATAACATATCTGTTTTTTTCTCTTTCATAAGTCAGAATACAATATGTGGAAGCAGAGATGTGCGATCTTTTTTGGCCTCCCATTGCACTATATTGTGCTGCTCTGTTTGATGGGTGCAGGCTGTTGGTGAGACTTTGTGATAGATTTTGGGGGAGAAGCAAGGGGCAAAATACTTATTTTGTCCTTTGGAACTGCCAAACAAAAAGACCCAACCACTTGAAAAAATAGGGCAGAATTTTTTTGGCAGTCATCAGAATCTTCACCCTTACTTCCCCATACTTCTCCACCCCATACCAATTCACGGAATGTCAGAAACCTCTGCATTATGCACTCTGGTGACTACAAATGAGGTGCCTCTGTGCTGTACATCATAAGATGTCATTCTGGCTCAGATATTAAAAATTATTAAAAATTGGGATTCTTTTTTTTGCTTGTACAAACTTATATATTATTTGAAATAATTAGGTATTATATTATGCTAAAATATCCAGCTAGACTGGAGGGAGGTGTTCAGAGAGGGCTGAGCTTAGAGGCCTTGCCTTGCAGAAAGCTGCACAGGAATAATCTCCTCCAGATTCTCTGAAGCCTCATCTGACTATTCGGAAGGTGACCAGCCTTCCCTCTACCAAGTGAGTTCTCAAATCTTGCCAACATCATAAACTAAGTCAGACATGTCAAACACAAGGCCCGGGGGCCGGATGCAGCCTGCGAAGTGGTTTCATTTGGCCCACGAAGCCATCCTGGAAACAGTGAGGGAACAGATCCTGCTGCCTTGGCCCTGGCCCAGGCCGGCCGGGAGCCAATGTATAATTTTGTGGTGGCCATCTATGCTGAAACACATTCAGTCTTAGCTCCACAAGGCCATCTGGAAACAGTGAGGAACCAGCCCCTGCCACGTCGGCCCCACTCCCTGGGTGCATGCTGGGGAGGTGTCACCCTTTGTGAGGAATGAAGAAATGCACCATCACCTGGAAGTGACCAGCAAATGGCCCTTGCCTACTTCATATATCCGGCTTGATGGGCTCTGGCGGAAGGATTTCGGCAGGCTAGCGGGGCGCTCTCCTCACAGCGCCAAGAGCTGAGCTGGGTGACGCGAATCTGATGAGAAGTGCAATGCTACCTAGCCACCAGCCTGCCTAGTTTCAGCAGGCAGCAAGGTGCAAAGTTGGCGAGCTTCACACTGCCTGGCTCAACCTCTCGGCGCTGTGAGGAGAGTGCCCCGTTACCTGCCGAAACCATGCCCACCCAGTAGGCCGCACCCACCCTGGCCACACCCACCTGGCCCCCCAAGGGCAATTGCAATGCTGATGCGGCCCTCAATGAAATTGAGTTTGACACCCCTGAACTAAGTCAATAAAGTAACATTGCAAAGGGGAAAAATACAGTAGCACTAATAAAACAATAAAAATTATAAATAAAACATAAAAGGACGAAAATGAAATTGCAAAACTACACCAAAACAATGTTCTTATTGGGTTGGTCCAAATAACACATTAATCATGTCAGTTAAGGCCTGGCAGCATACTTGACCTGATTCCTTCCAGATTTGTTAGGATTATAAATCCCAAAATTCCCAGGTAGTTTGGAATTCTTGTGTTGGAGTTCCAAGGTATTTGGAACAAAAACTTGTGATTTTATTAAACAAATATTATAGTTCCCTATAATCTAATCCTCTACAAAAAGTGATAGTGTTTGAACATTTCAGTTTAGAATAGAAGAAAGGGAAGTGAAGACATGGTAAAAATATTAAAAATCATTCATGGTATGGAAAATGTAGAAAAATGTTTTTCTATTTTTCTCACAATGTTACTGTAGAATTATATTTGTTAAGCCTAAATATGGGAGGATGAAATAAAATACACACATTACTTTAATTATTCTTATTTAATTATTCTTATTTATTAAATGCAAATTGCTCAGAATCATCTAAAGTAGGCAGCCTGCATGATGGACGGATGGAAGGATAGCCTTTAAACTGAATGATGGATCTATATTCCATTGTACTACTATTTAACCTACTAAAAGACTCTAAGGAGTAAACAAAACAAAAATGTTGCTCACCAGCCATGTGTACGGTAAAAATATCTCCATGTTTTTTAGTCAAAGATAATAAAAAATCAGTAGCATTTTTTCTAAAGTTCAGGGCCTCTCCCAAGAAAGGAATCCAACCATTTATTAAGGGAGGTTCTCCAGTGTGCCTGAAAAATAAAAAGAAAGCACTGTTGATTGATACATAGATTAATATGATCAAAGTACTTTATATTTGAAAATTTGAAAGCTTGGCAGTCACACCCTGAGATTTTTTTTTAATTCCTTAGGTGCCAAGGTTTCTACATCCATACATTTTGCCACTTATTTTTCACTATATTGTAAAATCAATACAAATTGGTTTAAATGTTCAATCAGGGAACTGGTTTATGGTAAAATTTATATATAATCAGCATATATAATATATACCCAAGCATCCGAAGTAAAGCAAAATACACTCAAATAGTCAGATTTAGTATTTTTAAAGTCTAAAACATCTTCCCAATTGAAATTATAAATAAATAATCTAATTTACAAAAACTAACTAAAAAAAACAAAAGTGGGTATGTGTATCAACATGTTGATACATCAGTTAATACTGATGTTGAGACTCTAGAAAGAGTACAGACAAGAGCAACAAAGATGATTAGGGAACTGGAGGCTAAAACATATAAGGAACAGTTGCTGGAATTGGGTATGTCTAGTTTAATGAAGAGAAGGACGAGGGTTGACATGATAGCAGTGTTCCAATATCTCAGGGGTTGCCACAAAGAATAGGGAGTCGAGCTATTATCCAAAGCACCTGAAGGCAGGACAAGAAGCAATAGATGGAAACTAACCAAGGAGAGAAGCAACCTAGAACTAAGGAGAAATTTCCTGACAATGGAACCACCTGCCTCCAGAAGCTGTGAATGCTCCAACACTGGAAGTTTTTAAGAAGAGATTGGACAGCCATTTGTCTGAAATGGCATAGGGTTTCCTGTCTGAGCAGAGGGTTGGACTAGATAATCTCCAAGGTCCCTTCTAACTGTATTATTATTATTATTATTATTATTATTATTATTATTATTGTTGTTGTTGTTGTTGTTGTTGTTGTTGTTACTGTATATGTTCTTAAAGACAATTACATTTCCAACCTCTGTATTTAATATTTCTGTTCAAAGGTAATACTTGGGTACATTTACATTTATATTTCCTTTAGTCTAAATCAGGGGTGTCAAACTGCCAGCCTACGGGCCGGACACGTCACGCGGAAACCATGCCCACTCCATTGCCGGCAATGGCAAAACCGTCACGATACGTTGTGCGACGTCACGTGACGTTGCGAGTTTGACATTTCTGGTCTAAATGTTAATTAAGAACTTAATTCTAGCTCACAGCTAATACAACTTCTTTAAACAATATATTCAAGTTTACTTAGAATATTTCCTAACAAAGAAATAAGAGGGAGAAACAAGTTGCCTATACTCCTTTTTACTGTACACTGTATTATGCATCAGTAATTTCATTTTAAAACAAGTCAAGGCAAGCAAACTATATTGTTTTCTTTAAGAATTTATCATATGGCTTCCAAATCCACTATGAATAACATTTATCTCATGAGATTACAATTTTAACAGAGCTGTAAAAATTAAACCTATAATTGTTAGAAATCCTAATACATTATCAAGTTTTCAAATGCAAGGGATCCTTGGCTCTGTGGCATCCCACGCTTAGCCTCCTGCAACTGATTTCATAAATCCCAACAGAAGCAAAATAAATGGCTCTGATGCTAGAGTCCCTCAGGAAAAACATTTATGCAGTACAACTTATTTTGTAATAATCACAAGAGACGGACTAGTTTAATCAAAGATCAAGGCTTTATTTCTATCAAAGCTTTACTGCTATTAAACATCGCACAGAAATTTATGTAAGAAAATTAATCCTATAACTCAGGAGGTTTTCAAATATCAAAAGAAGCTTACTTTTTAGAATTTTTTGAATGAATTGGTATATTTCTTTTAGCAGTGTGGTGGCCTAGTGGTGAAGATGCTTGCGTCCCACTCAGAAGGTTGCAAGTTCAATTCTAGGTAGAGGTAGATGTTTCTCTCTTAGAATGAAAAGAAAAAACATCTGCTGCAAACTGTGTGGTGTCAGGAATGCTCTGTGTCATCCACTCATTGTAAGGGTTTACAGGATTGTAAAAAGGGAGTTTTGGGGTATATTTCTTTCCAGTACTTTTGAGGGGTTTTTTTACATAATTTTTACATAACCACCATATATAATAAAACATCCCTCCTTTGTTGTAGTATTCCCAACATTTATTCTTATATGATTTATCTCTCTTGATAATTAACAGTTATATGACACCTGTAAAATATTGCATATCAATTTCCCCTAAATTGTAACTTGCAATAAATCTTATTGAATTTTTCCATAATTCTTGTTATGCTTTACTATAAAACTTCTGATTTGTTCCATCTCTTTATCGTATTTCAGTAACAATTTATACATGCAGTCCATGCAAATAGGTGATCTTGGTTTTGCATAAGTGTTTCAAATTCTGTCATCATTTTCAAGATCACTTTTTCCTTCTCAAAGTTACTTTTTATTGTTCCAACAATTTGTAAATACAACAACTATGCTGAATTCCTTTCTTCATTGAACAATTCTTGCTGGGTCTTTAGTTCATTTTATATGTGTGGATTTACCATATTGGCATATGTGATTAAATCTTTCATGCTGCAATTATCCCTGAAATAAAAGGCATTTAATAATGAGGCTAGTAGTGAGGTTACTGGACTTATACTCATTTTGTTTTGTTTTTTTAAAAAACACATTTTTAATAAACTTTGTCTTGTAAAATGTCCCTACAAAGTCCTTTTTATTTTGTTTCTTCATACAGTAAGACACTGTACTTTCTGATGGATATTCTGTTGTTTTGAGATTTTACCCATTTTGTTTTACATTACAGACAGATTGTGCTGTAATATAATTTAAGTTTAGGCAATACACGTCTACCTCTTTCTTTTGAGTCTTGCAACGTTCTGGATCTTTGTCCCCCTCCATGCCATATAAATCTGTTAATTGTTCTTTGCAAATCATACAAACTTTTTTCTGAAATTGGAATTGATGTCATTTGAAATAGGAAGTTCATCTTGGGAACCACATTCATTTTTATTGTCGCAATAAGAACTAGCCAAGGACGTTTTAGCCTTTTGCACTTATCAAAACATTGTTTCATTTCTTTCCAGCACTTATTATAATTGTTCTGAAATGAAGCTTTTTCTGCACCTTGTCAAATAGGGTCCTATGTTCTAGCATACAGAAGATTCCTTTTACTGAATCAGATTATCTAGTTTAGTAATCATGTTTATTCAAAATTGTACAGGATTTGTGGAAATAAAAGCTTGGCCTTGATTTTACCCTTCTGGTTACAGTTGATTTCACTTTTCATAAACCAAGTATATTTCTCTATTTCTGTACCCATATCTGCATCTTCATAACAATATGCATATTGCTCTCTAAAAAAACTAATGTAGTAATTAAATTAACTCTCTATAAGTTTATGTCGAAACTACAAAATTAACACTGAGGCTCAACAACCACTCAAACATAAGATAGACCTTCCCAGGTCTACATATAACCCCTATTGAAGTTCCGATAGCTGCCTCTCCTCCCATCTCTTGGTGCTAAATAAATATAGGTAGGATGCAAATATGAGAAGATGTCAAATCTATCCCACAGCCTATTTTCAATCCTACTACCTTTTATCAAATTTAAAAAGCCCAATTATGTTTAATATTGAACCGGGTGATTTTTAAAAAAATCTATATGCAACGTCAAAATGGAAAGAAACTTTGCTAGGACATTTGTGAAATGTTATAGTATTTCACATATGACGCATAAGAACTTCTTAAAAGCACTAACTTATTTGGATGGTAAGCATATTATTGCATGTGGGAAGGGAAAAGGAAGGGTTTTGGGAGGAGGGGCTCTGAATATTACTAATTTTAAATAATATATCTCCAAAGTAACATTGTGACAGCTACAGTTAGATATGTAGCTTGTCACATTCTACTTTAAGGTAATTAATTTCAACTTCCCATTTTGTAATTTTGTCAAAAGTTGAGTTTTTCATAGGCTTTCTACAGAATAGAAAAGATACAGCTCAAAAATTGAGGAGACAATTAACTTAGTGATAAAATCTGCTGGATCTTTCTAGGGAAACACCTTCAACTGTAAAAATGTAAGGTTCATTATTTGCTTTGAATATATTTTAATACATATTAATATCCATATTAATACTCAACTATTTTTTTTTTAACTTCCACTGAAAACCTGGGAATTTCCTAAAGCCAATTTTCTTTCTCGGAATTCCAGTGCTGTTGGCTCTTACCAGGTGGAATTATTATTAGAAAGAGTGAACCATACTCATTTTAGAGAACAGGACAACACTTCAATTGTTTATGATGCAACGTATGGTAAATATATCTAAATTTAATCTTAGTTAAAGTAACTTCCTTCCTTCCCTCCCTCCCTCTCTCCCTTCCTTCCTTCCCCCCTCCTTTCCCTTTCTATACTACTACCCAGGGCTTCCTAGAAGAAGTAAATGATGAAACATGTATCACGACATAAACTGCATGGTTTAAAAACTTCCATGCAATAGTGAGATGCAAGTACAAAAAAATGGAGTTTTTGTGTCATACCATGTTTCATAATTTTCACATAATTTGTCTATATCACTATGATTACAGGTGCCCTTTATGTGATTACAGGTGCTCTATGTGAATTAAATCATAAAAACAAGAAAAATCATAGCATTCAAAACATCTACTGCCAACTGGACAGTAAACAAAATAGACATGTTAATTTCCAAGGACATTTCTGAAAAACGTCTCTTATACTTCTCTGCCAACAAAGTCTATTTCACAATAATATATGCAGTAATATACAAATGTGTATTATGTATAAAACCTATCACAACATAATTTACACACTGTATAATAATACTTGCTTGGACTTCTCATAGCCATCCAGTGATTTCTTTTAAAGTATAATAAGGATCTATTTTTTACTATGAAATCTGAAAATATAACTTTTACACTATGTTGACAGATGCAGTTATCAGATAAAACCCATAGCTCAGGCATTGATATCTCTAGGGTTCTGTTTCTTTTCTAGTTCAATATATTTATACAAAACAAAATGTACTAAATAGTCTGCTCCAAACTCAAAAGGTTGAATGGCTTACAGATCTTCTAAAGTATAAAGTTTAAAAACAATAAAAATAACACAACTATATTTAAACTACATATAAAATAATCCCAGCATTCAAAGAGCACTTGAACATAATATAGGAAAACAAATGAAAATAGTTCACGTATTATACTCATTCTGTCTCCGAGACTCTTGGGAGAAGCCACATTTTAATGAACTTCCTAAAACTAGCAAGGTGAGAAAAAAGATAAGTTCTGGAGATATGCTGTTCAAGAAGGAAGGTTTGGATTGAGAAGGCATGTTTTCCTGGCCCATGAAGATTAGAATTTAGTATTAGGATTGAAGCCATTGGAAGAAGATAAAGGTCTCAATCATTGTCTTTAAAGGACAATCAGAAAATTAATAAACAATGGGAAGATCTCAAGGCTCCCAAGGAACTTCTGGATAGTCTTCATGAACAGTTCTTTAGAGAACACATTGTAATTGTCCAAAAACTGTTTAACAAAGAACAAAAAATATCAAATTCATCCCCATTTAATATTTAGTGAAATAACCAAACAGATGAATTCTCTTCAAATATATCATCAATGCACAACACCTGTAACTGATTTTCACAAACATAAACCTTCTGTTTTAGAATATCTGTTTACAACCAGAAACAGACATGTAGTAATCTCTTGTTTGGGATAAACATTAATCCAAATCTGTCTACAACACACACACATGCATACACACACATCCAGAGATACATACACAAAATTCATTACTTATGATAATCTCTATTGCAGCCTATTTATTCTTAACCTTTATCCTCTAGTCACTTGTCCTAAATCTAGCAAATCCACTAGCAGCATGTGATGACTAGCATCTTAGCATAATTTTGAATTCTATAGAATACTTCAAAAAGCCCTCCAATAAACACACTACCTTGCAATATATCAGCAATTCTCCTGAATAATTAAAAAAGTCTGAAAGGACAACAGCTATTATAGGAGGTCAGTCTTTCTTGTTATAAAGCATCATAGTCAAACACATATTAACAGCAACAGATAGACAACAACATTCCTATAATATTGGAATTCCAATTCAGAGGTCATCTTATCACATTTGTCATCTTATCAAACTTAAAACTGATAATATGAGAAATGTTGCTTTCTCTTAAAATAAATAAATAAAAAATGAATTAAAAAAAGAGTAACTGGTTGGACTGGTACTGATTATAATATGAGTTTTAACATGATACACATTCCCAATGGCTTTCTATCATTATTGAAACTCAGACTTTAATAAGTGTCTCAAAGATATTAGACAGACTTGCAGTGCAGAAGGTTTGCTTTATATATGAACAAAAGGCAATGGTATCAAATTAGAAAGTTTCTAAATCTCTGAATGGTTATATCATCCACAAATATGCTGTACTTCCCTTGCAATAGCATATAAATATTTCCTCCATTGTTTTTGTTCATGCTCAGCTGTATGGCCACACCCTACTCAACTTTTTCTGATCTCAAAAACCAAAGCAGAGTTGGAGATGCATATAAGATCTCCTGGAAATACCAGGGAGGCTGCAGATCAGTTAGGATGCCAGAAAAATACCTTAGGAAAAGGCAAGGGCAACTCATTTTTATAGCATCCCCAAAATAATTTGCACGATAAATTAGATTATAGTGTTTTCCGTTTGTTGTTGTTATTTATTTATTGAAATGAATCACACAGTAAATGTGAATGTCTAGGCAGCTTAAGATAACAGTGAGTTTGGTATTTAGATTAGTGTTAGTATCTTGCATTAAGAAAACTAATAATTGTCATTTCAAATATTTGTATGGGAAATGATATTATTGCCCTCATTACAATACAGTCCTCTTCCAATAAAATCCTAGGAGTAAAAAACATGGGCATTTGTCATTTTTTTTGACAATAAGATGGAAAGAAAGAAATAACATTATTTAGATATTAGCTTTCTGTCTTTTGATTGCTAATTTTGTCTGTTTTGTTTTTAAAGAAAATTTTAATTATTGGTTTCATTGTATGCCACCCACAGTGACATTTATGAGAGGGCAACCATATAAATTTGATTGATCAATCAATTTAACTTCATCTTCTGGTATTAGATGTACTTATAAATAGGGAACATCTTCTAAAATATCTTGGATATTGATATCCCTGTTAAACAGTATTTCAGTGTATTCTTCCTATCTTTCTTCAATCTTCTTTGGATCAGTTATTATCTGTTCATGACATTCTTCAGCATATGAGGCATCAAAATAGAAGTGCATCAAATGCAAGATTATCCAGGAATACTGAGTCCCAAACAGTAGCTTTAGTAACTGTAGAGCTGATCTGATAGTCTCTGCAATCAGGTATTTGTAAGGACTTGGAGCTATCATACTTTTCAGATGGCTTTTTAGAAAGATTGATCTAAGGTGAAAGGTGAACCCTAATCATACACTTACAATTCCATGCTAGGTAAACAGTCTGGGCAGTTTCTGGTTGGAGAAGATGAAAGGATTGGGGACACAATAGACAATTCAATAGATCCTCAGTATTGAAGATTTAGAACAGGGGTGTCAAACTGCTGGCCCACGGGCCGGATGCATCATAGCGAAACTGCGCCCACCCCATTGCCAGCAATGGCAAAAAAAGTCACGATATGTTGCGACACGTCACATGATGTTACGAGTTTGACACCCCTGATTTAGAAGGATGGATTAAATAAAGTAGGGTTCTTTAGCAGTCACTAACAGCAACAACACATGGAAACCAGTAAAACCACAGACACAAAAGGTATTATTAATTATATGTTAAATCACACAAATTTTGAATAAATTGGCTGAAATAGCACAACCTTT